CATTATATCGACACCCGATCGACTAACCCGGCTGTTGCCATGTATTGACAACTCCATTGTTCCGCGCTCTGACATCGGCTTTATACGGTCCACGATTGGCAGTGACATAATAATTGTCGACGCGCGATCCGCATTCCTCCGATGAGAAATGATACGCGATAACAATGGTTGCCTTTGTTCCCAAGCCTGCAGTCAGACGCTGGATGTATATACCCAAATGTTCGAGCAAAGATTTTGTACGTCTCAAGCACGTCGATTAACTCGATAATAAAGTTGGAAGAATTTAGAAACATAATTACGAACAGAAATAAATTTAAATTGCAAAATCATAAAATTTATTGCGACCGTAGGAGAGGTATGTCGAAGATTGCGATATTAGTTCCTGAGATCATCATCATTGCTATAACAGATCAGAAAAATGACTTTGACATAACATAATTACGAACAGAAATAAATTAGAAATACAAAATCATAAAATTTATTATGACCGTAGAGCAAGTATGTCAAAGATTGCAAAATTAATTCCTGAGATCATTATCATTGCTATAACAACTCATCAACTTTAATAATAATCAATATTTATAAAGCTTTAACAATTTGTTGACTTTTCTATTAATTTCTATAATTTGTTTTCAATCATACTTTCTTGCAAATAAGAGTGAGAAAGTGTTTTGTCTGTGGAATCTGACGACCAGTATTAACTAATAAGTGAATTAAAGTGTTCCAAACAAAAGTTGTGCATTTTTTTACGGAGAATACGATTTCGAAACAAAAAATATTAGTTTATGATAAAAAAATCAAGATGACCTTGAAATGACCTTGAAAACACCAATGTATTAAAAAAGTAGTGCCATTTGACTCCCCACTCGAAATGCTAAAGGACATGTGTCAGTTTTTTTTTTTTTTTAAATCACGTCTTTACGATATTTTTTACTAATCTCAACTTAACCCTTAAATGCATGAATTAATGAATTTTATTTAAAAAATAGGGTTATAATTTTTCAAATGAGTGGAAAAATATTAAAAAAAATTATAAGTCATATCTTATAGGGTTTTTATTAAAAATATTAATGATTCATTTTTGGTACACTATGCAAAATAGACATAAAAATTTTTTAGTTAGTATGACATATCTATAACAAAATTATAAACCACATGCATACCACACCAAAACAAAACCAACAAACCAATAAAGGAAGCATAGTACTAAATACATGTCGTAATTATTACCATTAGTGCATATTGTCCCATTTTTGCATCAACACGAAATAAGCCCTCCATACACATGATAGTTACGGAATATAGACAAAAGTACTAGCAAATTAATAAATAAGAGCCTTACCTTTAGAAAATATTGTTTGTTTAACGAATACACCAAAATATTTCTAAATAATCCACTTCCAAAAGTACGTAAATGAACCCGCTATCAAAAATGCGCGCCAATTGGTATAACGTCAGAAAGATACAAATATTGAAGTCAAATGTCATTATTTTAGTTAATTTTTGATAAGTCAATGGACAAAGGAATCACTGCCATTCAGCCAAATGTATCGATATCAAAACTGTTGTCGGGTATCCGCGCAAAAAGTTATTGATTCATTTTTGGGACTCTATGCATTTAAGGGTTAAA